TATCTCGCGAGTGGTATTTGCTTTAGACTTATTGTCTTTATGACCTTATGAATCTTAGGACGCCAAGAAGAAAGACCACCAAAAGCAATGACTACCAAGATATGTGTAGCGATTCAATCTTTTGAAAGCCTAGTTACTCGGAAACACTATTTTTGGACTTTTAGGCGACGGATGAAAGATTAGATTACCTAAATCACGAGTCTTGTACATTGTGTTATGATCACCTCATGCTAATGAAAATTCCAAAGAACAATTTGAAATGCAAATAAAGAAGCAATTTTTGGTCATAAAAACATAAAGCCATGAATTGAGCAAAAAGTATTTTTAAAAAGAAGCTTGGAGATTCCTTTCACCTCGGGACCTACGAGCAACCAATGATTGGAATACAAGAAATAGAAGGAATAGGAAGTTAGCTACAAATTATTCCATTGTAAATTCTATAATGTACATTATTAGGATATAAAAAAAGAACAATAGAATGTCAATGTCATGATTTTCGAAAATCATCAATGAGAAAACTTATCTTCAATTCATTCCGCTTCTTCATTCTTCAATTTTAACAAGGAGCACTCAAACATAGATAAAAAATAATAATAATATATAAATCATAACAATCATACTTTACAACTAAGTATTTTACAAGGATTAATTCGACATAAAAAATAAAACATAAATCCAATCAACAACAAGTGGGTCATACCAACAACAACTTAAAAATCATTTAAGAGATTATGCATAATAAAGATAAGCAAATCATCGAACGTTTCGAATCAAATTTGGTAAATTATCTAAAATATACAGAAAAAAAAATTATACACCATTACAACAATAATTTTTAATCAAATTTAAACTATAGAAAGTTTCAAAAGTCATATTCGACTAAAATATGAACAAAATTATTGTTAATAGAAATAATTCAACAAATATGGAAGCAAATAAGTAAAGAATCATAAATTCACATAAGAACCAAATTGTAATGTCCTCGGATAGTGTAGATCAATGCAATTTCTATGAAATACCCATCTAGCCTTAAATGTTTGCATTGATCCATCGGTATTGTACTTTCTATGAAATACCCATTTACAATCTTTAGGTTTTGAACCAAGAGGTAAATCCACTAACACCCAAGTATTATTGTATATTATTGAGTCAATTTCGTCATGGATTGCCTCTTTCCGAATTTTACATCTCTTGATGTCATAACTTATCTATAGGTTTTAGGATCTTTTTCTATATTTAATAAAATAGGCATTTTATTAAGTATAGATTTTCTATCGCCTTCGACTTGGAAGACAATAGACCATGGATCAACAAAATTTGAATCTAAGTTCTTTTCTTTTCTAGTCCTTAGATCTAAGGTTCACTGTAAGTATCATTAGTTTTTCTCTTACGACTAGATAGTAAACTTAGATCAATTTGTTCATCTGTTTATGTGGTAGTATTAGAATCATTGGCGAATTTATATTCAATAAATTCAACATCCCTTGATTCAACTATCATATTAGATTTTAAATCTAATAATCTATATGCCTTGGAATGTTGAGCATATCCTATAAACACACTTTTTAGAGCTCTTGGTCCTAACTTAGTTTGTTTAGCATCCATAACTCTATAAAAGGCTAGACAACCCCAAACTTTAAGATAATTTAAATTTGGTTTTCTTCCTTTCCATAATTCATATGGAGAGAATTTAAATTTCTTAGAAGGTATTTTATTATGCACATAACATACGATTAACAATGCTTCACCTCATAAATTATTAAGTAGGTTAGAATTCAAAATCATAGCATTCACTATATCAACCAGGTGTTCTATTCTTTCTTTCAACCAAACCATTTTTTTATGAGGTATATGGTACACTCATTTCATGCATAATGTTATTAGCCTCATAAAAAGAAGAAAATTCAGTAGAACAATATTCACCACCCCCGTCACTTCTTAAAACTTTAATCTTCTTTTCTTCTTGATTTTCAACTTCGGCTTTATAACACAAACATGTCAAAAGCTTGATCTTTAGTTTTCATTAAGTGCACATAAGTGTATCTAGAATGATCATCAATGAAAGTAATAAAATACTTATTTCCTCCTCTAGTTAAAATTCTATTTAATTCACATATATCGGAATGAATAAGTTCTAATAATTCAAAAGATATTTCAACAAAAGGAAAAGGTTTATTAGTCATCTTTGATTGTATATAAATTTCATATTTTTCATTACTAGTATCATTGCAAAAGATTAAACTATGTTTTGACATATATTTAATAGACCCAAAATTAACATATGTTAATCTACCGTGCCATAAATGAAAAGAAGAAGAGCCAACAATATAAGCAGAAACATTCATCTTATTAGCAATACTAAGTTTGAATATGCCATCACAATAGTACCCTTTACTTACAAAGGCATCATTCTTAGAGAATACAACTTTGCCGGACTCCAAAACAACTTTGATCCCCTTCTTACATAACAATTTAGCGAGATATAAGATTCTTTCCAATTTCGAAACATACGAACATTGACCGACATTGACTTCTTTTCGAAGTAAATGATATTTCAATAGTGCATTTGCCAAGAACCTTTGCGATGTCTTTATTTCCCATCATCACTTTATAACCTTTAATGGCCTTGTCAAAGGTCTTGAATTAAGCCTTGTCATTGCACATATGGATGGTGGCACCGAATCATACCACCAATCAAGGATCTACGTTGCGGTAGCTATGTTCGATTCTATGATCATGCCAATGTGCAAGTTAGAAATCATTGTAACAAGTGTATCATTTCTTTCTCCACCATATTTGCAACATTAGCATTCTCTATCCTTTGCTTCTTCAAGTATTGACAATCACGTTTGAAATGGCCTTTCTTTTCACAATAATAACTAGACTTATTGGTCTTATTTTTTGTTGTATTGGAGCATGAGAATTCTTGATGTTTTCTTTTCTTCCCTCAAGAACTCGCTATCTCTAGGAATACTTCATTCCTCCCGAATTTGGCTTTTTTACATCCACATAATTCACTTTGAAAATAGTTTCTAATTCCTTTTTGCAAGTTTTGAGTCTCTTCTTCGATTCGAAGATGTTTTTCAACCTTTTCCAAAGTAAAGTCTTTTGTGGTATGAAGTATCTTTTTTCTATAATCATTCTAAGTAGGAGGTTATTTTACAATTATAGCCCTTATGTGAAGTGATTCGGAAATCTAAACTTTCAACTCTTTCAGCTTTGATATCATAACGGAAAAATTATGCACTTGATTCATAACGGATAAATTATCAACCATTTCAAATTCAAAAAATTTTATGATGAAAAACTTATTTGCCCTTTGTTTTTTAGCATTGTATTTAAACTCCAATGCTTTCTAGATTTCTTTTAAGGATGGAACACCGGTGAAAAGATCATATAATTGATCCGATAGTGTGTTGATAATATGACATCTATATAGTAATTCATCATCGACACGTTTCTTTCGTTCGACCTTGAGTTGTTCGAATCATCATCCTTTAGTTCCGAAAGATCCTCCAAATTCGGATCTAACACATAAGTAATCTTCCATGCGGTAAGTATGAACATCATTTTATCCTTCCATCGACTAAAATTTGTTCAATCAAAGCGATCCGAGCTCACCACATTTTGATCCATAACTTGAAACGAACTTTCTACCCTTGCTTCCATCTTTCACAAACTAATCACCTTAAGATTGTTGGGAATTTTAAAATGATCGTGAAGAAGAACAAAATTATGTAATGCTTAATTACATGCGAGAAAATACCTCATACTATTCTTAAGATGATTATTGCCCTCGCTATGATGTTGCAAGGATTTTAGCAATTCACTCGTAGGATACAATTTATGCACACGAGAAGCTGCAGGTAGCACTCACGAAATTCCTTTAAGAGAATATCTCTTAAAGTTGTAGAGTTTTAAAAGGAAAAGAATTTTGAGAGGAGAGAAGGATTACAAAGAAAATAAATTGATTTTGTCCTGTGCGGTAGTCCTCTATTTGTAGATTAATGACAACCTTTTATAATATATGTGATCTGTTGAAATTAATCGATTAACGGTTAAATTCTAACAATCATAATTCAACAGATCATAACTATTTAACTATTGAATTTTAACGATCATAATCGTTAGATTCTAACAATCATAAAGCCAACTATGTATTGTTTGAAAGTCGTTAATAACTAACCGATCGCAATAGAAAATTAAAAACATAATTAATTAAAATAATTACATATTTAATTAAAAATAAATTTCTTAATTACACATGTACGCGTGCAAAATGCTAAACGCTAGTCTTTGATTGTTTATATATATATAATTCAAACCAATTAACTTAGTTTTCCCTCTAATTTCTTCAACCAAATATTTGAAAGTTTTACTAAAAATCCACTTTATAAATTACCTCTTCTTTCCATTTCTTTCCAATATAGGATAAAAATTCTACCTAAAAACACTTTTAAATTTTCTTCATAGCATACTTTACCTATTAACTAACATTCTTAAGATTTTTAACAGGAACCTGCCAAAGCTGGCACTCTCCACTGCAGTCCACTTTCCAAACAGTGCTGGCAACATAAAGATGATGATCAGCCACAAACATACATGGCTCTCATTTTCCAGAGGTCATCCTATAGAAACACTTGGAGATTGAATATAACACCACCCCGATACCACAAGTGTCCATGGATCAGTACTTATCCCCGAGTCAGCTATAACAATTTATTTATTTATTTATTTTGGCAAAATAGAAGTTTTTGTAGCTAATCTAATAATCAATCACTGATTAGAGAGAAAAAGATGCATGGGAGCAAAGAAATATCAATCACCACCAATTTACAAATACACTTTTTTTTTTTTTTTTTGTCTTGAAATAACGGTGATGAAGAACAAAAGCGATTCCAAAAGAAAAACTAAAACCACAAAAAAGGCTAAACACAAAATGATCCCACAAATACATTATCATTACACGAGGCTTAGAACCATAAATCTATCCTCCAAACTCAGGCTTTCACACAACAGTTGAAGTAGCTAAAAATGCTTCTCCTTGTCTGCAAGGAAAACCAATAGTGGGTAAGTCCAAATACGAATCATTAAAATCAACCAGAGAGTAAGGATTTCTGCATAAAGGATATAGCAGGCATTCAAAGTATCAATCCTGTTGGTTACACTTTTAACCATTTCAAGAAGTATTTCTATTTATTTATCAACTAAGCACATCCTGCATAACAACATTTGTCATGTTGGAAGAGAGAAACTAGCAGTACCATAATGTTTATATCATGTTCCTGATTGTTTTGAAAATTCTAGAATGGCCATTAGGGTTTTGTTTAGCATTTGGCAAAAGAGACTTACAGCCATCAGAGTCTAAACTGATAGAAACAATAACTAAATATTTTGTGTAAATGCATGTCATGTATGATGTACCTACCAAATTAATCACTTAATGTTCCCTTCCACACAGAAACCAGATCTTAAACATAGAGAATGAAGCCAAGAGAGCATATATACTGCTATATAGCCTATATTAAATGGCCCAAAGCTTCCATTGCATGTGCACCACTTCCAATTGCGTGCAATCTAGGCATGTAGAGGATTATCCTCACTTCTTTCTGTGGGCACACATCTCTATAATTGCAACGGTTGAAAAGTACCTTACAGATCTTAAACATAGAGAATGAAGCCAAGAGAGCATAATATAATTTATTTAAATGCTTGCTATTAATTCTGAAACGCCATCTTACCAGACATTAAGCATCTAGAATCACATGAAACCATTAGTTAACAATTTGGCTGCTCAGTAGCCAACAATTTTATGTCTATGATTCATTTCCTATATTCCCTCTTCGTATGATCTTGATTTTTATTGAAAAATGGTAAAGAACACTAATCTGTTTGAAGTTCCACAACAGATAATCAATGTGGTAAGTGTTCTTCTGACAATTACAAATCTTATCACCTATTAGCACAGATTTGAAATAAAACTTACAAACATTGACATATTTTCAACCGCAAAAGTGTGGCATTATAAGCATAAATATAATTTGTATGAATGAAAATGTAAAGATGCATTTAATGAGAAACATACTCGTTAAGCTTGAGAAAAATATTCGGAATTTAATACATTCATATCCAGTTAAGAAAGATGTATTTAAAGCACCACATTCTTATCATATGAATTTAATACATTCATATCCAGTTAAGCAACCGGGTCAGCTGTCCCATGTACCACCGCCAACCAGCCAAGTTTTCTTCTTTTTTTCCCCCTCCTCTAACACCCCCTCTTTTTTTTTTTTTGTAGAAGGGTTAATGGGAGGATGATGCCACCACCAAGTGGCCTAAGCTTTTTATTAATGGATTATATGTTGGTACCTACTAAGTTGCAACATTGACCCACCAAGTTTAATACCACGACCAACAATTCCAAACAATTTCCCCTACCATCCCACCACATGTAGGCCACTAACATTCAAATTGCTTATTATGTTGCTCTGTCTAATTTATAACTACTAAATACTCCTTGCACAGATATAACTGTACTTGATGCTTTATGTTTAATAAAGTTTTCCAAATAAAACTATAGAAAGAATCTTACTGTGGGGGAATGATGGTGGCCCTGGTGGTAATGGGGGTGGTGATGATCATGATTTTGAGCAGTTTTTGCAGTGGCTGCTGTGGGGTTGATTAGCTCTTCTTCATTGCCAAGACTGGCTCTTGACACATCCCTCTTGTTCTGCTTCCTCATTTCCCTTATTTTAGAGAAATCAAGTGAGTAGTCTGGCAATTCACCCTTCTGGTCCCAGTCCCCAAACTGTGGCACTGATAGCCAGGGAGCATTTTTCTTCATGGAAATTATGAAATATAATTAAATCATGTTTAATTATACATAAAAAAAAAAAAACAACATTTTCAGCATTCCAATACATTAAAAAAATCTGTTGGAAACCAAAGCAATAATGCCTCTGCTATTGAGCGATTCAATGCACTTTATAACGTAAAAAACAATTCACAAATTTCCTCAACTTATTGATTCTAAGGAAGATTAATTTATAATAAAGTCTAAACATTTAAATTCCACTTTCACTTATCGATGACCGTTTGCTAACTGGGTTTTCAATTCCTCCCCACGTTATCATCTAGGATTCGAATCCTAAGAAAGGCAACAAAAAAATATTTTCATGTTAATGTAAGATTTGACCGGAGGACTTAATTTTGATATGCCAAAGCTGGCCTGAGCTATTAAAAATGCCGTATAATGTTGAAATGGTAATCTTAAAAAAATAACAGTGACAAGAAAACATATTGACAGAGACAACGGTTGAAAAACAACAACGCTGAAAATCATTTGTTCTTCTCTCTCTCTCTCTCTCTATATATATATATATATAATTATGATCTTTGACTGTTTCTTCATTCTTAGCTTTGAAAAAGTAAATGATCCCTTGTTTGAATGTTTCATAAAGGTAACAAAATAAGCACTCAAGCAATAACTTTTATGACCAAAAACGACACAAACACAGATCTAAACGAGAAAAAAATAAAACAATAAAAGAAGAAGTAAAATTCACTTTCTAAACCATGCAAGAAAGTGAGAAACTATCTAATTATTAAAAAAATGAATAATGAAACTTCAAGGTTCTTTTATTTCACAAGTAAGCAGAAAAAAAACTATACCAACGATGGAACTGATGAATAAAAAGAAGAAGAGAAATTGTCACTTGTTTTGCTTCTCATAGATTCTTCTCTAACCAGATAAACAAAAACAGAGAGAAAGAGAGTACCTGATCTTTACGATCCTCCATGAAATCTTCTAAGAATTAACTAATGAACTATTAAAACGGATACCCAATAGCACAAAGGAGAGTGAGATTGTTTTAGCGCTGCAAGTTCAGCAGAGAAGAGTCTTTTACAGGCAGAAGAAACTAACAAGAGCATTACAGCAAAATGACAGCCAAATTTTTTTTTTTTTTTTTCGTTTGATGGCTGGTTATCCCATATACATATATATAGGACACGTATTTTTTTCACATTGACCAAAACGGGTTTCAGTTTTTGTTTTTATTATTAGATATGCCACTAGATTTGGACGCGCTTTACTTCCGTTTCTTTATGATATGTTCTGTCCTGTCAAGTTTGGACCTTTGCTAGCTGTTTTGTAAGGAAAAGTGTCGTTCATCAACTGTAACGCGGTTAGGTTTCTCTACCATGACGTATCAGAATTTATGAGTGGTTTCTACTTGCCAATGGCTTAGATAAAACTTTTCTTTTTTTCTTTTCTCGCTTTTCTTTCTTTTTTGGCTGTCTACGCCTACTGTATTTTCCAAGTTTCTTGCAAGAACTCATCATTTACAAAATTTGCACACGAAAAATATATTTTTTTTCCTGAAAGCTACAGATGCAATTGTTGGACAATCTCCGCAACTCTTCTATATGATATAATATACTGAAAAGTATGAATAAATTTCTAGTTACAGAGGCGTATGATAAATTAAATTAATAATTGAAGTCAAAATTAATAAAATATATAGTTTCTGCTATAACTGATTAAATTTTTAAGCAATTATTTAAAAAAAAGTTGGTGCAGTGGAGAAAAAATAATCTTCTAGTCCATCCTAATACTTTTTGGTTTTTGTACGTTGATGACTTAAATTTTTATTTAATATTTGGATCATTTGTTCAATCTAATTTTATACTTTCATCAATAATAGATGTGCTAGCTCATCATATATGTGCTAGCTCATCATTAAAGTTTAATGAGCTCAAAATCTTTAATTATTACTTATAAATTTTATTAAAAATAAATATATAATAGTAAGTAGTATCATTCTAAAACAAGATATGACATGTAACCCACTTAAGGATATATCTTACATTCTTATACTTAACTCATGTGACACAATTTGAAAAATGACAATTCATTTATATAGCCCAGAATATCTAGTAAGAGGAACACTCAAACTTAGATAATAATATTATATAAATCATAGCAGTTATACGTGACAATTATGTATTTTATTACATGCACTACAATACATTGTATATTCAAAATTAATACTTAATGAGCAAATAAATTTTATGAATCAAATTCCAAGTAATTCGAATTCAACATTATATATCACAATAGATATAGAAAATAATACTTTACGTGTACAAAAATCACATAAATCTTTAAAGATAACATAAAAATATCTAGATAATCAATAAAAAAAAAATAAAGTCAAACATCAAATGGTTATCTAGATGCATACGATCCATATGATCTCAATACTATTTTTCCGACAATCCTTTAGTCATGAAGCCTTAATTGTTAGCTCAATGCTAAGATGCTCAACGAGCATTTTATGGTTCTTCACATTATCTCTCATGATAAAATACTTTATAACGATATGCTTGTTTTGGTTTTTACATTTATTATTCTTATTGAAAAAAAAAGTTAATGTTGAATTATCATAATAACTATGAGAGAAAAGCTTTTTTGGTGCCCAACCTTTCAATTTTTTTTTCTTTTTTGTTTTGGTATCCAATCATTGATTTCTCATGGTTGGCTACCCAAACTTTGATTTTTTTATTTTTTTTGGTGTACGAGTTCACCCGAATTCCGATTTTATCGACATGTCTAACGAGATTTACCATATGGCAATAAAATGCCAGGTGGTAGTCAAAAAAAGCCATGTGATATTCAATTTTGTCACGTCGGCACATCGTACTTTCGGGTAGTTATGAGCACTCAAATAAATAAATAAAAATAAAAGGTTAGGCATTGAAATAGAAAAAAAATTAAAAATCAAGCACCTAAATAGAAAAAAAAATCAATGGCGGGGGACCAAAAGTATAATTTTCTTAAGAAATTTATTTTAGTTTTCTCACATCAAATGTTTATCTCTTTCTTGTACTCTAATATATATATAAACTCTCAAAACTTTTTTATATATATTAAAAGTCATATAATTTTAAATTCTAAAAACATCGGTAATTACATGCATGCATATTTTCTTATTATTATGCGGATTGCACAAGCAATTTTAGTAATGCATTTACTTTTTAACTTAATTCTTAGTTTACTTATTATCTCTATCATTATCGTCATCGCCTAAAAAAATATTACACTTTAAACGTTCAAATCTAAAATTTTTATCACTAAACTTATTTATGTCGATTTTATTCCATCTTAACTTACTATAAGAAGTTCGGCAAGTTATTGGCTATAGCAAAATTATGTCACTTATGATATGTTGGTCAATTTTCTTTTCGGACAAAGGAAGCAATTTTTATTTTTTATAACTTTATCCATTGACCAACCATTTGTTCCACAAATGATAATCATAATTGGATCTTATACGTCTTTTATTTTTCTAAATTTAATCTTAATTGGATCTTATATATATATATATATATATATATATTAAATGACATATTTTTAAATTTATTAGACATGTAAAAGGGCTTAGAATTTTTAAAAATTAAATTTTAACCGATACACGGTATTTAAAAATTACCATTGATAAGTAAAAAAAAAACAAATACAAAGAAAGCAATATTTATTTTTTATAACTTTATCCATTGACCAACCATTTGTTCCACAAATGATAATCATAATTGGATCTTAAACGTCTTTTATTTTTTTAAATTTAATCTTAATTGGACCTTATATATATATATATATATATATATATATATATATATATTAAATGATATAATTTTAAATTTATTAGAAATGTAAAAAGGCTTAGAATTTTTAAAAAGTAATTTTTAATTGATACAAAGTATTTAAAAATTACCACCGATAAGTAAAAAAAAAAAAAAAACTAAGAGTATGATATGGAAAATATTTATTAGAAATTATTCAACTAATTTTTCAATCTCAAGATAATAAATTTCTTAAAAAATGCATATTTGGTACCAAATCTTTAATTTTTTTTTCTATTTTAATGCCTAAGCATTGATTTTTTTCTATTTGAGTGCCATACTACATGAGAGTATGAGGTGCCGACGTAACAAGGTTGATCGTCATATGTATTTTTTTACCGCCACATGGCAAATCTCATCGGACATGTCAACAAAATCAAGATTCGAGTGAATTCAAGCACCAAAACAAACAAAAAATCAAAGTTTGGATAGTCAATCATGAGAAATCAAAGTTGGGCACCAAAAAAGCTTTCTCTCTAATAAATCTTTACTACTTTTGATATAGAATCGACAACTTTTAAACCATAAATGAAATTTTCTAACTAGATAACCTATGTTTTTACTTCATAACATGCCATAAGTTAAGCTTTCTTAATAGACAAAGCAACAATATTTTGCTTAGTACTTTTCTAATAAGAAGAAAAACATGAAGTATATTTTTTATGTCCACACAACCTGAAAAATCCAAATTTCAATATTCAACCACTTCTAGATGATTGGTATGTCTTTAAATAACTCTATAATCCTTGATTTCTTATAGATACCTTATGACTTTCTCAATACCTTTCCAATATTCCATTCTACGATACCTTCGGAATCTTCTCAACATTACTACAAATGCCAAGTCATGTCTAGTACAAATTCATACATACATCAAAATGCTTATTGTAGAAGTATAGGGAATTATAACACCTAATTTTTTTCTTCATGTTATACTTGTGTATGTTCATGTTGTGTCTAAATTTAGTTTTTATTTTATGCATGTCATTAATATCTTTTAATTATTTTTATTATATGAGGCGTTTTAGATTATTTTGAGAATAAGAAAAAATAGGATAATTAGAGTTAGTTACACTTGATTAAATTTTTTAAGTGAGATAGATCATAGTAATGAAAATTTTGAGTTTTGAATGAAAGTGTAGAAGCGAGTTTTAAGGGGGGAAAAAAAAGAAAGAAAGCAAAAACAAGCCTTTTTTTTCAAAGGCTAGAGAATGACAAAAATTGATCATTTTCTAACCTTTCTTCATTTTTCTTGCTCCCTCTCTCAAACCTTAACCCTCCCACTCCAACTTCACCATCTCTCATCGATTTCTAACTTATTCCACCACGAAAAAAAAAAAAAAAAGACATTCGATCATGTTAGTTTTTGAAGATCTAGGTTGATATTAAGCAAGATTGAAGCTTGGAGAGTTGGTGTTCTTGAGTTTGAAATCCGAACACAAAAAAAAAAAAAGGTATCGTTTCTACTAAAATTTTTGGTTATTTAATATATTCTTAGATGGTTATTGATGATTATTGCCGCTACTTGAGATTTATGAAACTTCTAAAAATTTTATGTTCACTAAGGGAAAAAGAATTAAGAAAAATATTTTGGAGCCACCGTCCGGTATTAAAGAAAACTAAGAAACCTAAAAAGGACACTAGATTTAAAGATTTTGGGGGTTGTGCTATTGGAAAGATAATAATCACTCAAGGAACCCTTTTTAAGAAAAGATATCAAGTTTATGAATATCTCTTAAAAGTTACATTTGCCAAATTATTTCCTAAATCTATTTCCAAGTTTATTTGTCATCTAAGTCAAATTGATTTATTTATTTTTGTGACATCATATTAAATTAACGATAACCCCCAAGATTGGGAATAATATCAATTTATTATTGGATCCAATTAAATCTTGACATGATTGGCATGTTAAGGAATGACCTAATAACGAACGGTATTTTATTTAGATATGGACAATAAAATATTTTCAAAATTTTTTTTTTTAATTATGGAATCGTATTAAATTAACTTCGAGCTCCAAAACTTGAGAGTCTCATCAATTTAACATCAAATCCAATTAAATCTTGAAACGATTTGCATGTTGGGAAATAGACTAATAAACTAAAAGTATTTA